CTTCACAATAAATAAATAAATAAATAAAATAGAGTGAGGAATCGAGTGGAAGTTAAATTGGGGATCTTGGGCAATTGATTGGGAGTTAAATTGGTTGGTGAGGATTATGCTAGTTATTTTGTGAACATAGGTAATCGGACATATACACTATGCTTTTCTGTATGAAATAGTCATATTGGCCTCGATGATTCTAGTCATTAGCATGGTTTTAACCATTTGGTGAAGTAATCAATAACAACTATCATGTACTCGGCTTTGGTTCGTCCATTTGGTAATAATCCCACAAGGCCTATCCCCTATTTAGAAAAAAGACATCACATGGATAGTTTACTATAGTCAGCTCTTGTGGGTAAAGGCATTGTATGTTGGAAAACCTTTGAAACTTATCACACCATATGGATTAACCAAATGAGTAATTTTTCAGGCCGCCAAATTTCCTTACCTCAAGATCTTTTGGAAACCACCTTCGTTACCACAAATTCATCTATGTACTTTATGCAATAGGTCTTCTTTCTTCCCCATCGACATAGTGTAGCGAGTGGAGAAACCTCTTTTGTACAATATTCCATCCCCTAGAATGAACCAGGCTACTCTTAGCTTCAGATTTTTAGCCTCATTCTTGAATTCTAATATATTAAGTAACTTGAGAGATCTTTCATCCATTTGATCTTTCATGTCTAGATATCTCATCTCGGCATTCTAACGGACTTTACTCATGTAGTAGATTGGTAATTGTTGCATACCTTCAGCTCGGACTAGTAACTCCTATCGAGACGGCCAAATAGACTTGCAAAACTACTCCTTGAACTAGCTTGGACAACATAGGAGCCTGATTGATGTGTTTCTCGTTAGAGCCACAAAGACCTCTTCACATTTCAATGTCCATTCAAACTTCTTCTATCCATTGAAATTTTGAAGAAAGGAAAGCATTTGTAAGTGGACTTCGAGACAAAATGACTTTTGGTTTCTATCCTTTCGATCGAGCTTTGTACCTCTTGGTTTTTACGGAGGCTTTATATCTAGTATAGCCTTAATCTTCTTAGATCGTCCTTGATCTCTCTTTAGTTAACCATAAGACCGTAGTTTATCGTTATTATACTCATAATCCCAGTTAAAATCATATTAAAAATCCGTTTAAAATAAGTTTGAGGGTGATTAGATCCATTCAAAACTAATACCATCATCACTTGATATTTTTTGGTCCTTATTGGCCTTAAAAGTGATTTACATTGTACCATAGGAAAAAATTACCTATATTATCATGTGAAGCTAGTCTTGAATAATTTAACCCTTCTCATTACCAATATTTAGAAGATAATCTATCGGGAAAGAAGGTTATCTGCGGTGTAGAGTGAAGACTATCTTCAAAAACCAAAAAGATCCCATAAATAGAAGAAGGGACCAAATAAGAAAAAAAATACACACACTAAAGAGTGTTAAGACACTGGTAAAACAACTATAAGTCTAGTCATTGTCAGGCTAAGTCTTCGTCATCAATGAAGGATTTGGAGGGTGATTGAGTTGAACATGAAATAAGCTCAATCTCATTTATTTAGTTCATCTTTGGCAAAGAGAGTGAAAACCCATTAGAGCAATACAAGAAATAAGAGATTATATCGATATTCTCGGGACTTGGTATTGACTGTAATATGGTGCTTTATGATTTGAAGTCCATAACTTGATTCAAGTAAAGTCGGTGGAATTGAGAAAGATTAATATATACACAATCAAAAGTAGAATGTATTATAGTATGTGAAGTTTTTGAAATAACTATTCATTTTTGTGTTTCATTAAATTATTTGAATTTTGAGGTTTAGATATTTACTTTGAGGAAATATTGAATAGCATGTGTGGAGTAGAATATACGTTTTTTTGTGTTCTGTTATCTTTATTTTACTTTATTCGAGGATTAACAAAGGTTCACAAAACACGGACAACACTAAGAGTCTTCATTGTATCATGGAGGTGTATTTACATTCTCGAGTGCATAGCTGAATTGGTAGGGAAAGTAACGTATTAAGGAAAGCGTAATCACGTCTTGAAGTCAGTTTTGACAAAGTTCGGGATTGATGCACTTTCCGACTTCTTTTGCTACTTCTTTCTTTGTGATTTTTGAAGATTTCCCCAACAATTTGGGGGACCATGGCCCAGTACATATATTTAGAAAATCGTGTCCTATTAGGAGGTGCTAAGCCAATACTTCACTATAGAAAGATTAGTCTTCTTTGGGGACAATGATAAGACTAAGTAGAAATTTACTGGAAGTAGGTGATCTGTCATACCCAACCGCTCCTTGGTATATGAGGGAAAAAGCTGATCGGGGAGGAGGGATGATACGCTCCTCAGGATACGTAGGTCAGTTGGAGAGGCCTCATGTCATCCCAGAGGTCAGAAACACACCATAGTGGAGGGAAATAACAACCTGGGGATATGATGTAAGGATTTTTTAATCGATCTTATGGACTTATATGTAGGGGTGGGAGTGGGTTGGGTTGGGTCGATTTTTGCCCAAACCCAAACCCAACCCAACACGGTCGGTTTGATTGAAATTCAATCCAACCCAACCCATGTAAAGATCGAAACCCAACCCAACCAAATGTCGGTCGGGTTGGGTTGGATTGAGTTGGGTTGGACGGGTTCGAAATTCTTAGTTTAAATTCACTGCATTCCATTTCCCAAAGTCAAAAAAAGAAGAAAAACTTCAAATCTATTCCCAACTTGTCTATTTAAATTCACTGCATTTTATGATTCATTTAACTATGCACAATATCTTACTACATACAGAACCTTAAAAGTTGAAGAGAAAGCGGATAAGAAACAACTTGAAACAACAGAAAAAAAGGAAAAAAAAGCACACCTTTAGTAATGAAAAGATTTACTTCTTTACCTTCTCCAATGTCGAACCTGCAATTCAAAAACTGTATGCTCTAAGTGATCTTCAATAATGAAGAGAAGTTAATATCCTTTAGTAGTTTTCTAGTTCAAATAAATATTACCAGGCTGTTTACTATGACATTGGAGCCAATTGACATAATAAAATTGTAGGTTGTGGCCATAGCGGTGTCGAGGATCAATCTACACAAAAATAAGAAGAAAAATGTCAACAAGGGCTCGTAGAATGTATCATTGTTTGAAAAGCTCTAGATGTTCAACTTACATCCTCGAGCCAATGCTGTAAAGCATGTTTACGTGCCTTATCATCCCTGGACAAACCTTTCCCCACCTGTTAATGAAAGACTAAGACTTAATCTTGGGTAAATCAACATAATGCTCTCAATAAAATGTATTAATCAAGTAAAATAATTTNGCATAATAATTAACAAAGTCTTCTAATTTTTCAATATTACTTATCAAATTAAACAATCTATTTTCAGAAATTACCATACCGTCATACATGGGTGGCAGTTGCAGATATATCTTCATGAGAAGCTAAATAGGTTGCAATCATATTCACTCTTCTTCTCATACCCTCCGTTTATCTACTTTCTAAGACTTAATCTTGAGAGAAAATGATGGGAGGAAACAAGAAACTGAGAAATTTCTAAGGAAGAAGAAAACAAGGTCACAGGAATTTCTTTGTGTTGTGCGGCAGGAGTGGTGAGCTAAGAAGAAAAGAAGGTCGTTGAAATTTCTAGGGCTTCTTTCTCTTTTATATGTAGTGGTTTTTGTTTCAATTTTTTATGTTTGTCGGGTCGGGTCGGGTTGGGTTCACCCGGGTTGTCTTCCCTAACCCACAACCCGACCCATCCCAACCCGGTAGCATAACCCAATACCCTAAACCCACCTAAAAACACAAAAAAACCAACCCAACCTGGTCGGGTTGGGTCGGGTCGGTCGGTTTTCGTGGGTTGGCTTGGGTTTTGCCCACCCCTACTTATATGTGAATTATTGTGTATTAAATTAAAAACTATCAATTTTGGTTAAGCCCATTTAAAGTGATTTAATAA